GCCAGCTGAGCTCACCCGGTGCCTGGGCAGCTCAGGGCACACTGTGGCCACCCCACTGGCACCAGCAGGCTGAGAGCCCCAGCAGAAGCAGTTGGCTGAGCTCGTTGGCAGAGCCATCCCCGGTACGTGCATGGTACATCCCCAGCTGGGATTTGGGAGGTTATGCATAGCCTTGCATGGCTGAAAAGGGTTGACTCTACATCTGGAAAGGTATCCTCTACAACTGCCTGAAAGGAGGTTGGAGCCAGGTGGGGGTCTGTCTCTTCTCCCAGGTAACAAGCAGTAGGACAAGAGGACATGGCTTTAAGTTGCACCAGAGGAGGTTTGGATTGGCTTTTAGGAAAAATTTCTTCATTGAGATGGTGGTCAGGCATTGGAACAGGCTGCTCAGGGAAGTGTTGGAATCACCATCCCTGGAAGCGTTCAAAAATGTGAATGTGGTGCTTAGGGACATGGTTTAGGACTTGCCAGTGCTGGGTTAATGGATGATCTTAGAGGGCTTTTCCAACCTTAATGGTTTTGTGAGTCTATGACTTTTCAAGGGGTTGGTGCTTTCGTGGTGGCCTCTGGGTGGGAGTGGTGGATGCGGCTCTGGTTTGAGCTCCCAGTGCTGTGCTGGTGCTGGGAGCTGCATGTCCAGGCTGCATGTCCACCCTCACCCAAGTCATGCTTGTCTCCATGTTACCCTGATGTGCCCATGATGATGGAGTTCCGTGCAGTGGAGTCTTACTATGTCCCACACCACAGCCCAGCCAAGATCCCACTTGCATCCCACATGGAGCATTGCCATCAGCTGAGCTTGGGCACTGGGATGGGTAAAGCCTTTAGGAAACACAGGAGCTGCCTTTGCAGAGTACTTGGGAGCACTGCAAGTGAGCAGCTCTCGGCAGTCACCCTCATGAATATTTTAGCCGGGAGAATTAACATTTGTCAAGATGCATTTATGGAGACAGCGTGGATGTCTCTTCTCCAGGCACCGCAGGCTTGTTGCTGCTGCTCCAGGGCAGCACTGGGAGCCAGGGCAGAGCCAGCCAGAGCCTGAGCCCATCAGGGCGCAGTGGGACAGCAGAGCCATGATCTCCCCCCCGGGACAGCCAGGCCCCGGTGCCAAGGCAACCAGCCCGCCATGCAAGATAGACAAATGGTTGTGGGTTTGTTTTTTTCTCTTCCCCTCCTGGTTCTTGGCAGAAAGTAAAATGTCCCTTTTGTTTGGTTTCCTCCTCTCCCTGCCCCATCGCCTTTCTTTAAAGGTTGTGTTCCAGATTTCGTCAACCCACGTTGTGTAATAGCCCCAGAGAACAGCGTGGGCATTGGCCATGTCCCACCGAGGCTGCGGCAGAGACACTCCTCGGGAGCTTGACCACAGGGTTACCTGCTCCCAAACATCCTGTGTACAGCTGCTGAGCAAAGCTTCCTTGTGTTTTGTATTGAGCTCCCATGATCCACTTGCGTTAGAAATTATGGGAAAGGTACTTGGAGAAAATGCAGAGATTTTTGAATCCAAGTAATCCTGTATTTCTACTTCAGCCCTGCAAAACGGTATGGAAATGAGGGACTTGCAGATAAACCCTGTTGACTTTCAGCAGCAATCCTTGTGCCTGGCAGTTCATTACTCATGGAGCATCCAGCGGTATGCAGGAGGATGCAGTAATGCCCTGCTTGGGATTACTTCCCTCAGGCTTGTAGGAGGTCCCTATTCTTCCTTTCCTTCCTTTCTGCTGTCTAAGGTGGGGGCTGATGCAGTTGCTGAGCTCTGCATCCTACGAGCATCAATCCAAAGGTCCCTGCATCTCATCTGGAGGCTGCTGGGCTTGTTGATGTGGAGAATATGGCGTGACTCATGTCCTGGGCACCCGGGGAAGGAGAGGAGGAGGAGAATGTACTATAGGCTTTGTGTGTTATGGAGAGGGACGCTGTGAGCACGTGTGTGTGTCAATAGGGATCTGTCATTCTAGAGGGAAACAGCCACACAATTGTTTCTTGGCTCTGGTTCCTCTGCTGGTGCTGGCTGGCAGCATGGAGAGTTGTAGCTGCTCCTGTGGTGCAAGTGCTCCCTTCCCTGTGCTGATGAGGGACAGGGGTTGCTTTACTGTATAGGATGGAGGTGGCTGGTGGCACCAAGGAGAGCTGGTGATGGTGCCCATAATGTCCTGTGTGCTTCCACAAGGTGCACCCTGCTGTGCTTCCACTCCTACCCCCAGTTAAATGATGCTCCCAGGCAGCAGATCCAGTCCTGGAGTACCTGTGTGCTCCACCCCATTGACAGCAGCATGGAAAATGGCAAAGGCAGGGCCAGTGCCTGGGGTTGGGGATGTCCCCAAGCTGGGGACCGCCAGCAGCCAGCTGCTGGAGCAGGAGCTGAGCCTGAATGTCCACTCCTGCCTCACCTGGACACAAAGCTGCCCTGGGATCTGACGCTGGGTTCAACCTTGTATCAAAGAATCTGCTCTTCAAAGGGCTGATTGAAGTCCCAACCTTGTTACTGTTTTGGCATCTGCCATGTAACACCTCCCTGCTTTTGCATTTATTAATTCCCTTCCAATTGCTGGAACCATGCAGTCCTCACCTGGCCTGGGACCAGTGCAGGGACCACCTCTGCTCATCCTTCCCTGAGGATCCCCAGCCTTGAGAAACCCCCCAGCTCAGAAACGGGTGCTCAGAGGTAGGGAGGGGGTCTGACTCCCCTCTTTTTCCTTGGTGGAGTTTGTGTACACGCACGCATTTCCACCCGGCACCATTTGCATTTCGTTTCACTTCAAAGTGCCTGTGCTGCCTCCAAGGAAGGAAATAAGTGATGTAAAGGAATTTACATCCTGAGCGAGCAATGCCGCTGATCTGTCAGGTTCCATCTGCTGCTGAGAGGTGTGGGGTGCAGGGGTGCTGCTGTGGGACGGAGGGTTTGCCCCTGGTGGTGCAGGTGCAAGGGGGTCAGTCCCTCCTTTGATCCCAGCCCTCTCCTGGCATCCTGGCTCAGAGGTGTGGTGGTGGACGGGAACCCATGCATCAGGCTGTGCAAGATGCCAGCGTTCGCCCTCACAAGGAGGGGTGAGTGGCAAAACCACTTTATGGGGCTGGCCCAGGGGCCGGCTCCTCCGCTCCCGGCACGCTTGGGTCAGGGCAGGGTGTGAGCAGTGGGGGAAGCCGCCCTGAACACTGCCATGGGGTTAAAGAGGGAGGAGAGCAGGCAGGTTTTGTCTCCTCCTGTGCCAGCTCCCTGACAAATCCCTGTGGGGCCTTACAGGGAGTCGAGGAGTCCCTGTGGCAATAGGGGCTGAGTGGCACAGGGTCTCCTTGAATGACTGGGGCTCCCTCCCTCCTCCTCATTCCCTTTTCCTCCTGTCCTGGTTGTATTCCCTGGTGCCAAACTGCTCTGGGTGGGGAAGGGGGTTGGACACAGACTTTACTGTCCTAGAGGCCTTGGCTGTGTCGAAGGCCAACAAGACAAAAATGTTTCTAGGACTCCACTTGGAACAGGAGAAAGTTTTTCCATTGGGTTTTTATAGCTCCCGGAAAGCAGGGTTTTATTTTTGTTGTCTAAGACAAAAAATCCTCTTAGGAGCTGACTACCCGTGGCGGTGCAGGGTGGGTGGCTGTGTGTGTACCCTGCTGGGGGTCTGGTCTTTGCTTTCCCTCCTTACATCCCATGGAGTCTGTGAATGATGATTTCCACAAGGAAAAGAGGGGATTTTGGTGTCCCTGATGCATGACTGGTCCTGTTTGTGTACCCATGCTGGACACTGGTGCTGCAGCACCCATGATGGCTCCATGCCACCCCTGGACTGTTGTAGGATGCTCCTGGCTAGGGACACAGCTGCAGGGACAGGCCTTTTCCTGGGGAAGGAGACTACTTCCCATAGCCTGCAGATGGGTAAATTGAGGGATTGGGTTCTGATCTGAATTTCCTGGAGTTGTAGGTTGGGGCCACTGAGCTCTCCCGAGTCACCCTTTCTTTGCATGGCACAGGCTGCTTTTGGAGGGGTTTTGCTGGCAGGAGAGTTGGTTTCCATGGTAAAAACCTTAACAGCATCTGCCAAAAATCCGTCTCCTTGTTGGCCTGGCCATCTGGAGGGCACAAGGAGGCTTTGGCAGGTTGAGGCAGTGGCCAGAGGCTGCTTTGGGTCCTCCTTTGGTGCTGTTGGCAGCTTCCCGAGGTCCCTCCCTCAGTCGTTTATGCCCAGGTGCAGGTTTGCTCTGGGATTCTGGAGGGATCCCAGTGTCACCGAGCCTGGTGGGGACAGGCAGGCTGGGCTGGGGGAGCCATGGCATTGCTGCTGAGGGAGGGAGGGCTGCGGGCGCCATGCCCTGGGAGCGGGTGGCCACGTTGTAATCGGATGAGCCAACGCTGCTCCAGATGGACCTGTCAGCTCTCGTCAGTGCTGACACCCCTCTGGATATTCTTCTGTGTCCCTCAGGCCACAGGGGCCACCCCCTGTCCCACTTCCCTGTGTCTGCTTGAAGCAGGGGGGTCTAGAGGTGACACTGTGTTCACAAAACCCACCAGATGAACAAGGTCCTATCTGTTCTGTGGTCCTTCCTGGCAAAATCTATATTCTTTTAATTTTACTGGGAAAAGCCTGACATGTCTGTCTGTCTGGTCTATCCCTGAGCTGTTCTGTGTTGAGGCCAGTGGAACATTGCTGCTTTTCCATGCCTGTCCCCACGTGCCACACCATCACCCCAGATGGTTTGTAGCTGCAGACCCTGAGCCAGCCACTTTCCTTGGTGTCCCTGTGCTGCGGTGGGGCAGTTGTCCTTCCCTGGATTTTAGGCATTGAAGAAGCCTCTCGCTGGCGGTAGTGGACCAGACTGGGCTGGCAGGACCTGTGTGGCACAGGGTTTTGCGGTGTGCCAGCACGGCACGTGGATGGGTCTGGATACTTGTGAACAAAGCATCTTGGTGTGTAGGATCTTGGTGTCCACCAGGAGAGGTTTTTGGGCTCAACTCTGGACTCCTCTGCTCTTCTCTCCTTAAACTTGCTCCTTTCTCCTTCCTCTTGCAGCCGACGACCCTCCCACAGGGCACCATCAACATGAACCAGTGCACAGATGTGGTGGATGGGGAGAGCCGGACAGGGCAGAAATTCTCCTTGTGCATCCTGACGCCGGAGAAGGAGCACTTCATCCGGGCTGAGAACAAGGAGATCATCAGTGGGTGAGTGCAGATCCAGGGCTGAGCCACTGATTTCCCAACTCCAGGTGTTGGATAGTGACCTGGAAATATCCTCTTCCATCACTCACATGCCAGCTTGGGTTGAAGCTGGCGCTGGTGAGGGTGCAGAGCTGCAGGAGAGCCGAGCTGCCTGCACAGAGCGACAGACTGAGGCGGTGCTGCTGCTCACCTGTGAGCGTGTCCCACATGGGGTGCCTGGAGCTCGGTGTCTCCCTCCCAAAATTTGTTGACATTTGAAACTTGAGCAGGAAGTCGAAGGATGAAGTACGCCTCTTTCCCACTCATCCTGAGGCACAGCGTCTCCTGCCTCCCCCAGTCCTGGCAGCAGCTGAGTCACTGCTTTCTGTTGAGCTGATTTCTATTCCCAAATATTTTCTTTGGTTGTGACTGCCCCCCCAGTTTTGGTAAATACTTATTGAAATAGACATTTCCTACCCTGAACTTGCAATTCTGGCGAAATATATAATTTCATGTCTTGAAACCTCTCTGTTCTACTAAAACATGTGAGCTTGGGTGATTCCCCTCTGTGCCTAGCCTTGGTCTGGTAGACCTGTCCCTCCTGGCCCCGTTCACAATGGTGGAATTGGATCAGCTGCAGAGCCAGGATGCACAGGGGAATCACATTGCAGAGGAGCCAGCTCCTTGCCTCCAGCCAAGGCAGGAGCAGTGACTATCCCCAAAACACAGCCATCCCCCATGCCCTGCTCTCTCCACCCTCTCCCCACGCTCCAGTTCCCAGCTCTGCCTTTGTTGCCGGTCCTGCGTGCCGCGCGGGAGGGAGAGGCATTGCGGAGCGAGGTGGGGCTGATTTATTGCTCATCAGCCTAGCGATGGGTTTTGAAGCAGCGCCTTTGCTCCTGACTGCAGGCGTTAATCATCCTGAAGCAGTCCCACTCTGGGGCTGAGCCAGACGGGTTTCGTTTGCAGTTGCAGCATGACAGGAAGATTTCTCTGGCTGGGGGAGAATTTGTTTTACGTTCATTCCGTGCTTCTGGCATTTATTGCTTAACCAAACCCCACTTGATGTGGTCATCTCCAAACGCTTTACAGCAGCAGCGTGCAAAGTGGGGGGAACAGAAGAGGGAAGCAGGGATTTCTGAAGCAGGAGTGTTTCCCAGCAGTCCACAGATCCCTGTGGAGTTTGCAGAGATGCAGGGGCAGGTTGTCAGGCCGCAGTGGGAGGGCACAGGAGGATCCCCCCAAGTGGCTTGTGCTGGGGATGGACTTCTCAGTGCTGAGTTCACTCTGCTCTTCCTTGGACAAAAGCACTTTGTGTGCAGTGTGCGGGTGTTGGCATCGCTGAAGGAGGAAGGTCCTGCCAGAGGCTCTGTCCTTCTCCACTGTCTTTCAGAATCCTTGAATCTCTGCCCCGTGTCAGCCTTGGCCATGGCCTTGCTCTTGCAGTGAGCAGGGTTTGAGCCAAAGCACCCTGAGGTCTTCCCTCCTCCCCCTCCTTTCCTGCTTTATTTGTCCTCTGAGAAGCGTTTGGGATGATTTTTTGGGTACTGTTCACCACAATGACCCTGACCAGGTCCAGCATTGCTCCTGTCCCTGTGCACCATCCTGTAGCACAGAAGTCACCTTCTGCTTTCTCTGCCTGCAGGTGGCTGGAGATGCTCATCGTCTATCCCAGGACAAACAAGCAGAATCAGAAGAAGAAGAGGAAGGTAGAGCCCCCAACTCCCCAGGTAACCCCAGGGGGCACACACGTTGTCACCCTGTCCCTTGCCTCCCTCTCAGGGTCACAGCCTTGCTCTGCTCCTGGGGTAGATGTCCCCAAACCATCCGGATCAGCGTTCTGCACTGCCCACAGAGGGTCATTTCCAGCTCTCTAACGCTGCCCGTGCAGAGGTTGAGAGCTGGGGCGAGCCAGGACAGCAGGTTAGCGTGAATTAATTCCTGATCATCACTTCCAGGGTCACACGCTGCTGCTTTGGAGCCACGTTTCACCCCCCAGCCAGTGTTTTGTGGCACCAGCCCTGCACACGCTGTCCTGGCAGTGGCCACAAAGCCACGTGGTCCCCGGGGGGGACCAGGGAGAGGTGCTGTTCACGGGCCATTTCAGCAGAAACAGGATGAAATTCCATCGGGCTCCAGTTACCCCCTCTGAGATGACCCCAGAGATAATGGGAATGAAAGGAAAATACTAGAGGCCAGGGCCAGGCTGGGAGCTCCGGGGCTGGAGCTGGGCTCTCCAGGGACCCAGCGATGGCTTCATGCTCACTTTGACTATAAATGGTAAAAAGTGGGGCCGTCCGTGACTCACTCGTTCCTGCCAGGCTCCCACGTGGCCGGAGTGGGGGAGAATCCCACAGATGGGGAACGTGACCCCGAGGCCACCCTCGTCCCTCGCCGGGGCTGAGAACAGCCGTGTCCCTGAGGCCGCCTGACCCCTGGGCGTGCGTCCCACCGCCTCCGGCTGGGAGGGCTCCTCCGGCCGAGCCGGGCTGCAGCACTGGGGGACCAAAACCAGCATCAGGGCTCCCCTGAGCCCTGTTGTCAGGTCCCCTTCAGTGAAGCTCCCAGGATGGTCCTGGTGCAAAGTGGGCCATGGGTGGGTTTTATATGTTTGCTTGAATAAGTTGTCATCACTGTACTGGATAAAGAGGTTCTGGGCAATGGGAAACAAAATTAGGGGGAAGATGGACCTTTTTTGCACACCAAGCTAGAAGTCTGAGCTTCTCCCTGCCAAGGGCTGGGATATTTAAAGCCACTCGAGTGCTGGCTCTGGTGATACTCCAGGGAGGATGCCTCCTCCCTCCATGGCCAAGAGCTGACGTATTAGGAGTTGCCTGCCCTCAATTCCCAGGGAGGAGGCTGGTGCATTTGGGACACCCCAGCAAGCTGATGCAGCAGGACTGGGGTGCTCATCCCATCCTGGTGCAACACTAAACCCAGGCTGAGTTCAGGAGGGGCACAGGGCGGAGAGGAGAAGGGGCACAGAGCCAGCAAAACATCATTCTGGGTTACATTTCATCACCATGGCAACTTCTTGGAAACCGTACAGGATCCAAGCTCCTGAGCACCAAATAAGGGAAGTGGCTGAGGGAAGGATGCTGGCTCCCCACAGGCAGACAGGCTCCTCAGGTGTTTGGGGATGGGGCAAGCATGGACCCTCATGGCACATTGCCCCCTTAGCTTGGGAGCACCACCCCAAGCCCCATCCTGCTTGCTACCCTCCTTCCACCCTCTCCATCCCATTGCCCCCAGTCCCATGGTGCTGGAAAAGGCTCAAATTCACTTTGCAAAGCCAATCTCCATGTGGGACCTGCTGCTGGATAGATGCTGTGCTGTGTTGGGAACTTATGAGCAACCTGCAAAGGTAGAACCAGCATCTTTCCTCTGTCTCCCAAATCCTGCTGCTGCAAGTGGCTGGTCTGGAGAAGGAGAGAGGGTGCTGGGGAGCAAATCAGCACCAAATCCCCCTCTGAAATGGCTTCTCCTGAAGCTGGCTGCTATTCAGCTCGCCCTCTGTGTGCTGGTGAAGAAAGCCTGATCTCTTTCTAAAGGTGGTTATATGCTAATCCAGCAGCAGATCATGTCTTACAGCTGCTCAGGGTGGGATGGACACCTTTGTGGTTTATAGAAAGAATTTAAGCAAGGAATATGCCTGCTTTTTCTCACTCCCATGTAGCTTCTCCTTGTACATTGTGGAGCAGAGCTTGATTGCAGCTGGGCACTCCTGGGGCATCAGGGCCATTTCCAGCTCCCCCCATCATTTTGCATCATCCCTCTGCAAAATCACCAGGATGGGATCAATTCAGGGAATATTGCTTCAGCTGCAGATTTTTGGATAGGGAGTGTTAAGTGTTCTCACTTTGCCTTGTTAGCAGGTTGCAGTTTTAGGGCAAAAAGGGCAGGTTTCTCTTGCAGCTTTTGCTGTGCTCTGGCAGAGAGGTGCGGGCAGCAGGAAGGACTGGGCTGCCTGTGCCTGCCTGCTGTCCCTGGGAACTCAAGGCTGGATCTGGGGCTGAAATCTGGGATTTGAGGCTCTGCCCTCAGTTTGCACAGGGTGTGGCAGGCTCAGGTAAGCAGAGCATGCCCAGACACACTTAGTGCAGTTAAAGGCCTGTTTTGCCCATTTTGCTGCTACTTTTTGGAGCTGTTTGTACCACTGAGCAGCAAAGAGTTAATGTCTCTGCTCCCTTACAGACTTCTTTTTGGCCCACATCTCTGCCTAATTAAATACATATCTACAAATAATTATATGGGGGTGTGTGTGAGGAGTATATAAAAATAGCTATCCTGAGCTGATGATTAGCTTTGGACTTGGATCAATGAATGAGTGGCTGAGAGTGGAAAGGACCTTGGAGATGGTCTGTCCCAACGCCCTGCTCAAGCAGGGTCCCCTTAGCAGGATGCCTGTGAACTCTGTATCATTTACCTCCAACACTGCATTCCTTTAGTGTGAAATTTCCAAGGGGGAATTTTTTTACATTTGAGGTCATTTGCTGCTTGTCATGGCTGTGCATGAAGCCAGAGCCCACTCCCTGGGAGATCCCCTCTGGCTTCAGCTCAGCCCTGCAAATGCCAGTTTGGAGGTGCAGAGCTAAAACCCACCTGGTGTGAGAGGAGAGGATGGAGGGGATGCTTTCTACAGCCTGTGTCCCCAACCCATGGCTGCTGGCTCGGGTGCTCCTGGATTCCTCCTGAAAGGGAACAAACAGCTGGAAAACTTCCCACTATCCAGAGACTTTGGAGGGGAGTTAATTGTTGATTTATTGGTGGCTTTAAGGAAAATAATCTGTGAATGCAGAAGCTTAATATGTCAACGGCAAAACATCTGCTAACAAATGAAGCCAAGGAAGGAGTTGGGAAAGCTGCTGCCTGTTTGGGGTCACACACTGCACCAGAGCTGCCTGGGCCATGGCCACCAAGGTGGCATTGTCATCAGATGGACTCCAGAGCCCCTTGTTAGCAGAGAAACATTTAAAATGTTGGAGCTTGTTTTAAAATAGCATCAAGCAGTGACACATGGCTGAGAAGCTCTGTCCCATCCCTGTCCTGCTGCGACATGTGTCACGGGCAGCACCCAAACCATGTGAGACCCACATCTCATGGCCTCAAGCCCTTGGGGACTATGAGTGTGGAACTGGGGCAAACTCTCTAACCCTGCTGTCTCCTCTGTTTGTTTTAGGAACCTGGTCCTGCTAAGATGGCTGTGACTAGCAGCAACATCCCCAGCGCAGAGAAGGTCCCTGCCACCAAGTCCACACTCTGGCAGGAAGAAATGAGGGGCAAAGACCAAGCAGATGGGAGCAGTGGCATCAGCCCAGCACAGACAGTGCAAGGCCAGGCCGGGGCTGCCAGCAACCTGAAGGATCCCGTGCTGGACAGCAAGGAAGGTGAGGGATGGGGTGCAGGGTGTTCAGGAAGGAAAAAATGTGCATCATGTGGTGGAAAACCACAGTGTGGGGCCCAATCCTGCCCTGACAGGGAGATGGGGCTGCCTGCCCTTGCACTGGGGGAAAAGTGAGAGGGAAAATGCCTTTTCTACCCTCTCCACATCCCTGCTTGGGCACCCAGAGGGCACAGGGCCATCCCATGCTCAGTCCAGCCATCCAGGCTGCCAAGCCTTGAGTGCTGTTTCCTCCTCTGGCCCTCAGGGCCTGTTTACATTTGGTCTTCGTGATGATTCCCTGGAAGGTGCTGGGGCTGTGGCTTTGTTCTCCCTGGAACAATGGGGACTGGGGACTCTTCTTGCCAGGCTATGGACAGGTCTCAGTGCTGTGGCTGTTTCCTTTATCTGCCCACTCCAATGGGGAACAATTTTGCCAGTCCAGCTGCCAGGAGTGAGGTGTCCATTGCCTTGCACTCGTGGAGTTGTGGTTGATTCCAGGCTGAGAAGAACAGAGATGGAAATGAGTGCAGAACAGTGACTGCAGTCACACATTTCTTGGTTTGGAGGTTTAGGTCTTTGACCTGTCAAGCCCAGCCCAAGGGTTGGACCAGCATCTTCATCTCCTTGCAGACAGTCCCACCATCTCTATGAGCATGAAGGGTGGTCAGGGAGGGAAAAAACAAGGGTGCAAGAGGTGGCACAGCATGGGGCTGGGGCCCAGGCCAACTCTGCTCTCATTTCTTCCCCTGTCCTGGGTGGAATCAGGGTATTTTTTGTTAAAAGCAGAATTCAGACTTGAAACCAAGCACTGTGACTTCTCTATCCCTTAGACGAGAGCTCCATGAATGGTGACCGGATAGACTGTGGGCGGAAGACACGTGTCGAGAGCGGGTACTTTTCCTTGGAGAAGACCAAGCAAGACTCGAAGCTGGAAGAGCAGCAACTGCCACCCCCACCGAGTCCACCCAGCCCCAGCACCCCGAACAACAGGTACAGTTATCCCAAATCGCCCTCACAGGAGCATGCCCAGCCCTTTCCTTCCCCAGGTACCCGATCAGGCGACCGAATGATTCACAGCTTCTCTCTGAACTCCTTGGACTCGAAGAGCAGTTGCCCCATGCACAAGGACTCCAGCAACAGAGATGTAGAAAGGGGAGCTGAAAAATCGGGGCGTCCCCTTTCTTTTAAAGCCAGCCGGCAGTACACCACCCTGGCCGACGTTCCCAAGGCCATTAGGATCAGTAATCGTGAGGCCTTCCAGGTGGAGAGGAAGCGGCTAGAGCGGAGAACCCGGGCTCGTAGCCCTGGGAGAGAAGAAGTGGCCCGGCTCTTTGGGAATGAGAGAAGGTAAGGGATGAGTGGCTCATCTCCTCCTTGCATGCTTCCAACAGCAGAAAGTTTGTGTCCCCAGTACAGCCTGAATGGAGCAGGTGGAATTTGCTGGGTGAAGTCCCTTTGTATTCCAGTGCTCCTGAGTTTCAGGATTCCCATCCACACCACCCAGGTGATGGGATGTCAGTAGTGCCAGCAGGTAGGCATCACTCTGCCTGGCTGCTCTGGGGAATGCTGGCTGAGGTGGGTGATCATAGAGTCATAGAATCATGAAGTGGTTCGGGTTGGAAGCATTAAAGACTGTCCAGTTCCACCCCCTGCCATGGGCAGGGACACCTCCCACTAGACCAGGTTTCTCCAAGCCTCATCCAACCTGGCCTTGAACACTTCCAGGGATGGGATAGCCACAGCTTCTCTGGGCAGCCTGTGTGAGTGCCTCACTACCTTCACAGGGAAGAATTTCTTCCTAATCTAAACTTCCTCTGACATTCAGTGGTAGTGGGTGGCCATACTTGCCATCGAGCCCACGCTCCTGGTCCCCTCCTCGACACGGCACACGCTGGCAACCAGCACCATTAATTAGGTTAGCTCTGTAAATGGTGTTAGTGCCAGGTGTGTTACACAACTGCCTAATGAGCTGAGAGAGGTTTCAAAATGTCACGGCATTAATCTGGGAGAGGAAGGAGAGGCGGATGCAGTGCCAAGGCAGGGTGCAGCAGGCTGCAAAACAGCTTAGTGTGGAGGAGGAAGGGGAGGGTGTCCGCCCGCTGCAGTGCGCGCCGATGTGCTGGGTGCTCTCTGGGCGAGGCGAAGCACGAGCTTCACTTGCCCTGGGAGAGTCACATTTGTGCAGTGAGGGCAGTGGAGCAAACTGGGAGACAGGCCTTGGGCGAGAGGGCCGCCTGCCAGTCTGATTTTCCTGCCCTGGTTTTCCTCCA